CTCTCTAGTAGATCACTTTGTGCCCTTCCATGTATCTAACAATATAATTGGATAAATAAAAAAGTAAAACTTCACAGTCCCAGAAAAATGTGGTACTAAATAGTATTAAAGTGATACTATATACATACAAACAGAGGTACAATAATCAAGAATAGTGGTACAATGATCATTCCCACATTATTTTCTTGTTTTAGGGTGAAAAACACATTACATAACCTAACAATAGCATCAATTTCGTATATGAACATGAATGATCAATTTAAATTTTTTAGGCTAAGATTTAGGGTAAATATTAACAACAATATTCCAAATTCAATCCTTAACAAATTAACCAAAAATATATGAATTACACATGATTTTTAGACTCCAAGATCCTCATATAATACATATAATACTTATTACTTCAAATTTTAGCCGGAAAAACCACAAATGTTGCCGGAAAAATATGAAAATTTTTGCCGGATTTGTGACGTCGGAATCACTTGTTTGGCCGGATTTGTTGCTTCAAGATTTCTTCTCGCCGGATTTCGTGTTGCCAGAGAGACCAACCTGCAAAAAAATAAAATAAAAAAGTTGCCGAGAGAATACGGGAGGGAGATGGGAGAGGAGGGAGTTGGCTTGTTGGGGAAGAAGAAGATGCAATAAAATAATATTATGCATTTGGTAGGTAGGAGATAAAAATAATAATAAAATAAGATGTAAGGCTTATTTAGTGAGGTGATGTAATAAGTGGTTTAATTTTTGACTTATTTTTTTAGTGGGGAGTTAAAAGAAAGTTGTTTAAGGGGTAGGGAGTTAGGAGGAAAAATATTTATGTAGGGACTGAGAAAGAATTCAATTAAAGGTTTGGGGATTTATTAAGAACTTTCCCAAAAATAAATTACTAAAAATAAAATAAAAGATAAGAACATTGCGCCCAATGACATTGACAGAAAATGTATCAAATTAAATTTAAACAAAAATGACATGGCCTTCCAACTATACCAGATTCATCACCAAAAACCAAAACCTTTAGATGGAGGGGTTGTTTGGTCGGGGAAAATGGAGGGTATAGGAGGAGAGGGGATAGATTTTTTTTAAACTTTTTCTTTGTTTTGATTGGTAAGAAGAGGAGGAGAAATTTTTGTTATTAATGTTTGTAGAATACAACGGGAAACCTATGAATTGAAGTTTATCAAACTATAAAAGAGAAAACAATATTACAATTCTAATGCGGACAGATTAAAGTGAGGCGATTAAAATCTTTCTGCAAGACAAATATGCATGTAGTGCTGACGGCAACGACTGACGTCTCGAAAGATGTAGCAAACCAACTTTCGAGCTCCGCCGAACTTGAACGAAGTCAAGAATTTGAGAAATATAATATGCGTGAGGCTGTGAGAGAGCGCAAAAATGCAGATGATAATTTCATTTGTTTTGTAGCTCTATTTCCTATTTATAGGAATTCCAGTTCATAAGGGAATGACTCTTCAGCTTGTAAAATTCCACTTATTGTTGCTACTGAGCAGTTTTCTCACATTTTAATTCACCTTCATTCCACATGATGACCACTGAAACAGTCAGGTGGACAGGTTAAAGGTAATTAGTCAGGCCCAAGCTCAACACCAAGCCCAAGATCGGCCTAGACTGACCAAGGTCGCACAAGTACCAAGGCCCAAGTCCCAAGCTCGTGCCAGAACCAAGCGAGCTGAGCTGTCCGGTAGGCGCGCGCGGGTACGGTCGAAGCCAACACCAACACTTGGTGCATAACTTTGTTGTTGTTGTGACCTCTCCAACACTCTTCATTATATTTGTAGTTTGTGTGGTTTGTGAATATCAAAAAGAAGGCTTAAGGAGAATGAAGAAAACGAAACGAAAATCAAAGAGGTTTAAGTGTCAAAGGACACCTTTTGGGACGTGTCCGAACGAGAACAGATGCATCTAGTGGCCAAAAGATACCTTATGGTCACCAAGGGTTGCGACCCTTTGATTTCTGCAGCCAGTTGCGCGTCCGTGCGCCGCGGGCTCGTACTAGCTCATACGGACCCGGGATCGATTTGCGTTTTTTCCTATTTGTCCCCAACGAGCCCTTCTGCAATTCTAGCATACATAATGCAGAATTATGGCTCGTTTAGTTTGTCCAAAACAGAATGTTTTGTAAACCCTACAACCTTTGAGTTATTAAACTCAATTAATTAACATATAACACTTAGAATTAATTTTTCATTCACCTTAAAATGGTTTTGAGAATTTCTTAAGTCTTCTATTTACGAAAAATAGAATTATTAAATCGGTACAAAACCAATTTTTTCTTACAATATTAAAGAGAGTTAATCTTATTTAATAGTCCAATGTGAGAATGACTTTTGACCATTCGAATCACACAACTATCTTTTTACATGCCCACCTCCTTCATAATATCGAGATTGGCCTCGTAATTGGTATCCGAGAATAAGGAAGAGTAATAGTCGATAACTCTATCACTGATCTCGTTCGGGAATAGTCCATGTCTCCCACCCGAATGTTGAGCATGCCCGCTTTAACCCTCACACCGTTGGTTTTTCTATGACTGA